CCATGGCCCCGCGTATCCAGGAGAGAGATCCATTGATGATGATGTTCGACTTCGGCGATGCGTTTCCCTCGATGTGCCGCTTTTTCCTCCACGCTGTCTTACAGCTGGGCGGATTCCCCTCTGCGATCCTCAACATGGTGGACGCCATCTACCTCTTCCCGCTGGCCTTGACCAACCTGAGCGGCCAGCTGCGCATATTCTGCTGGCTGGGCTCGGGCATCCTCCAGGGCTGTCCATGGTCGGGCACGCTATGGGCAGTCGGCATGGACCCGCTGATCAGGGACATGTTCCACCGCACCCGTCACCATAAGCAAGCAGTGATCGGGGTGTGCGCGGATGACATTGGATCCGTCCTCCCATCGATGCAGATGCTGAAGCCACTCAGCCAGGTCTTTGCTGCGGCGGAGAAGCTGGCGAGGCTCACCCTCAAGACGACGAAGTGCAAGATCATCCCATTGGCGGCGGAGTTCAGCACAGAGTTGCAGTCCCGTGTGCACGCCAAGCTGCTGGAGTTGGTGCCGCGGTGGGAGAAGATGCAGATTGTACCGATGGCAGAATGCCTCGGAGTGCTTCTGGGACCTGCGGTGTCCAACGACGTGCGCTGGCAGAAGGTGGTCGAGGGCTGGAAGGTAGTATCGCATGCGATAGCGGACTCGTGTGCCCCCACCAGCACGAGCATCATGCTGTGCAACCAGAGGGCTGCCTCGAAGGCCGCCTACATGGCCCAGCTGGCTCCATGGCCCTCGCACCTCAGACGCCTGGTTGCTGCACCGCATCTGGCACATCCCGCCGCAGTCCATGCGCCTGGTGGACATCCTGAGCATAGGGCAGTGGTCGAAGGCGCTCAAGGTCACATCGATGGAGTTCTCGGCTGCTGCAACGCTCATTCGCAGTGCCAAAGAGACGATCACGAACTGGGACCTCTGGATGCGCAGGCTGCAGTTGGCGATTCAGAATGATCTCGAGTTCCAGCACTTCGGGAACCTACCCAACATGGCCCCCAAGCACTGGAAGGAACCGCCCCTAGCACTGTACCTGAGGGAGGCGGCAACGGGGCACAAGGACAAGTCTCGCCCTGACCCGCTGATGAAGGCCTGCCGCTCTGCCCTCTCTGAGTGGCGCGCTGCCAAGCGTGCTGCTGCTGATCGTTCGCCTGCGGCGCCCATCCGCCTGCAGCGCTTCATCCGCTCCCACCTCCTCTCCTTGCTCCTTGATGTGTCCTCCCCTGTCCCCACCTTTCTCTCCCGTCTGAAGTCATGGTGGCCCCGGGGGTCTGAGCCTCCCGCGGACCCGATCGAATGGGAGCCCGTCCTGGAGCTTTTGAAATCGTTTCCGCCTGCGGGCCAATCGGCCCTTGTAAAAACTTGGGCCGGTGGCTGGACCACTTCTCGCAGGCTCCGCCGAGCTGCGGGAATACAGGGGTGCGTCTTCGGCTGCTCGAGAGTAGATGACCCATCGGCGACCGACGCTATGCCACACTATGTTGTTTGTTCGCACATGTGGCACGCTGTCTGCATGGCCTGGGACATTCGTATCCTTGCCCCTGAGTGCCTATCCGAACGCCTAGGGCTGCGGTCTGTCGCATCAGGCGAATCTCATCGTTTGGCTTTTGAACGCGTGATCATAGCGTTCCACACGCACAATATACAGGCCCGCCTCACCCCAGAGGAGTGGGCCTCACCGAGCGCTGCCATCGCAAGCGCGAAGGCTGGGCGCGCAATGCTGCTACATACATATACAGTGCCTGTATAGGCCCGCTGCCTTCACAGACCTTCATGAATTACGAGTGACATCCACACATACACGTACACACATACGCATCCATCCGTACCCACATACATACATTCGTATCTGTACACATACACACATATACACACAGCATACAAACATCCATACGTGCATACACACATGCGTGCGCAAATATATACACAGACACAAACACCAACACATTCACACACATACACATACACATACACATACACATACACATACACATACACACGTAAACGTACACAAACACAACCATACACATACACATACACATACATATACACATACATGTACGCACATACCATACTCACGTGCATACGTGCGTACATATATACATGCATGCATGCACGCACACATACATGCAGACTCACATGCACATACACATACAAGTACATATACACATACACGTACACGTATCCATACACATACACATACACATACACATGCACATTCGCATACACATACACATACAACTTCACACACATACACATAACACAACGCATACCCGTACACACATACACACATGCACACATCCTCATACACATGCACGTGCACACACATACACATACAAACACATACATGCATACATACATGCATGTATATATCCATGCACTCATGCATAACTACACCCATACATACATGCACCCACGTACATACATACATCCATGCATCCGTAACATACATACATACATACATACATACGTACGTACATACATACATACACACATACATACATTCATACACACATACATACATACAATCACACATGCATACCTACATGCACACAGACACACATCTATGCCTAGACTCTATATATATGATCCAGGGTCTGGGCCATCCCTCATGCTGATGCCATCGCCCCCCCCCCCCGCGCGATGGCGCCCCCCCCTGTGGGTGTGGTGTGGTGCTGTGGGTGTGGCGTCTGTGGCGTGGTACTGTGGTGCTCCAATGGAGCTCTGGAGATCGTCGTCGCCGCCGCCGCCGCCGTCGTCGGAGGAGGAGGGCTCTGGAGGTCGGCGCCGCCGCCGCCGCCGCCGTCGTCGTCGCCGTCGTCGTCGTCGTCATCGTCGTCGTCGCCGCCGTCATCGTCGTCGTCATCGTCGTCGCCGCCGTCGTCGTCGTCGCCGTCGTCGTCGTCGCCTTCGTTGTGGTCGTTGCCGTCGTCGTCGCCGCCGTCGTCGTCGTCGTCGTCGTCGCCGTCGTCGTCGTCGTCGTCGTCTTCGTCGCTGCCGTCATCGTCGTATTCGTCGTCGTCGTCGTTGCCGTCGTCGTCGCTGCCGTCGTCGTTGTCGTCGTCGCCGCCGTCGTCGTCGCCGTCGTCGTCGTCGTCGTCGTCGCCGCCGTCGTCGTCGTCGTCGTCGTCGTCGTCGTTTCGCCGTCGTCGTCGTCGGCTTCGTCGTTGTCGTTGTCGTCGTCGTCGCCTTCGTAGTCGTCGCCGTCGCCGTCGTCGTCGTCGTTGCCGCCCTCGTCGCCGTCGTCGTCGTCGTCGTCGCCGTCGTCGTTGTTGTCGTCGTCGTCGTCGTCGTTGTTTTCGTCGCCCTCGTCGTCGTCGTTGCCGTCGTCGTCGTCGTCGTCGTTGTCGGCGTCGCGGTCGTCGTCGTTGTCGTCGTCGTCGTTGTCGTCGTCGTCGTTGTCGTCGTCGTCGTCGTCGCCTCCCCCTCCGATCCCATCAGGGGGGGTGGCCCGTCGAGCTTTGGGACCCATCACGTCTGGGGGGTCGTGGGGGCCCCGTGGGCCCAGAGCCCTGGATCATATATATATATATATACATACATACATATATAAATGTGTGTAAACACATGCACATATTTTTCCCGTATCAAATGGTAAGGGACCCCCCCCCGGATGGGCGTCACCTAAGTCGCCCCCCCGATGAGCTCCAGACGGCCTCCAGACAGCTCCGAGAATGCCCGAAATTCCCTCCTCCTGCTCCTGCTCTGCCTCCTGTTCCTAGTCTCCTCTCTCTTCTCCCCTTCTGGGCGGGGGCCCTTCCCCTTTGCTTGTCGCTTCTCCCTGCTCGTGGCTCGCTCCTCCTCATCCACGTCCATTTGCTCGCTGCTCAATTTGTCTCCTCGCTCCTTTGTTCTCGCTCGCTCCTCCATTCTCGCTCCTCCCTTCTCGCTCCTCACTCCTCTCTCCTCGCTCCTGGCTCCTCGCTCCTCCCTCCTCCCTCCTCCTCCTCCTCCTCCTCCTCCTCCTCCTCCTCGTTATTATTTCCGCCTCTCCGAATCCTTCCTACCTTCTCCCTCCTCCTCCTCCTTCCTCCTCCTCCTCCATCCCTTATCCAGCTCCACTCTGTCGCACCCACAGACGTGCGGGTAGGGCGAGCTGGGCGTTTCGCTTGGTATGTTTCACCTTTTATGATCCTGGAGCTTGAACGTTGCAGCAAGTTCGAAGATGGAGGGCGGGTCCATTTCAAACGGTGACTCTCACAGTAACGCCGCGCGTTGCAGCAGTTTCAAGGATCAAGGGCGGGCCGTTTTCGAAATGTGGCTCTCGCGTTAGCGCCGCGATTGTTTGTTCCCAGCGTTTACAGCAGCTTCAAGTGTGGAGTGGCTGTCGCCTCAGCGCCGCGCGCATTCGCCTTTCGAAGTACAACATGTTCAAATTTTCGCAGTGTTGAAGTCCCAGGAACTGTGCTCTGGCACGCTTTAAGATTGTCAGGACGCAACAGTCACGTTTATTCGCGGTGGTGAAGTCATAGGGGCGGTGTTGTGGCACGATTTAGGGCTGCCAGGGCGCACCAGTCTCGTTGATTCGCGGCGCTGAAGTTCCAAGACTTGCGTTTTGGCACGGTTGTGGGTTCTGGAACGATTGTTTCTTAGTGTGACACTTCCGACACTTCACACATTTTTTGTAGGGGCCTAAGTAACAAGGAACTTGGCGAGTGGGTTTACTGTAACATTGATGGTGCGTCATGGGTTGACCCTGGCCCTCCTCCTCCTCCCTCTTCCTCCTCCTCCCTCTTCCTCCTTCCCCCTCAAGGCGCGGCGTTCCAGGGTTATTCCTGCTCCTTCCCTACTCCTTCTACTTCTCCTCCCTCGCTCGCTCGCTCCCTCGCCCTCCTGCCCTCCTCCGTCCTCCCTCTTTCTCTTCCCTTCTCCTCCTCCTCTCCTCCTCCTCCTCCTCCTCCTCCTACTTCTCCTCCTCCTACCTCTTCTCTGCATGAGTCGGAGCATGGCTCGGATCGAGCTGACTCGTGTTCGTTTTATCCTTCGACCTGCTGGCTCGGACTGCTCGCCTTCCCTTCGTTTCATTTATTTTCTCCGTTGCTCCGCTTCCGCTGAGGCCGGGCGTTGTCGCGTCGCCCCTCACGGAATGTCAGGCCCGCGGGCCAGTTGCCGCTTCTGCCTTGTCTCCCCTTTCGTCGTCGTCGTCGTCCGTCGTTTCTCCCTCGTCCCCTCGTTGATCCACGTTGTGGTTGCCAACGCGTCCCCGAACATGTCCCGTCGAGGAGGTGCCCGAGGACATCCGAGAGCTCCACCTGACGCCAGAGCAGCAGCGTCGTCGCGTGCTTCGGCGGGCCATCTGGCAGATGGGGGTGGGCACCCTGCTGGTCCTCCTGTTCAGCGACCCTATGGTGGGCGTGTGGTGAGGGAGGAGGGGGACGGGGAGGTCTGGTTCGCTTGCTCGCCCATGCCCAGGAATCCTGATTCTTGCACGCCAGGATTGAATGCTGGGCTGCAACATTTCTGTGCCGATCTGTTCACCTCTTCGGGGAGTGTGTGCACCTCCGAAAATCTTCCGACAACTACATGCTGTTGCGACTCGGGAGGGGAACGAGGACGAGGAGGAGGAGGAGAGGGAGGAGGAGGAGGGTGACGATGTGCTTCCCATACCCCTCGAGGGCCGAGGGGCAAGAGGGAGAGAGGCTCTTCCCCCCTAGGAGCCTACGATGAAGAGGGAAAGGTCGTAGTCGTCATCGTCGTCGTCGTCGTCTTCCTCCTCCTCCTCTCTTTCCCCACCCTCATCCTCACCTCCTCGTCCCTCCTCACTTCAGGCCACTCTCCGCCTTCTCCCTCCTGACCGTTATCGTCGTGTTTCTCCTCCTCTTCCTCTTCTTCCTCCTCCTGATACTACTCCTACTCCTACTCCTGCTCCTACTCCCTACCCCTACTCCTACTCCTACTCCTATTCCTACTCCTACTCCTACTCCTACTCCTACTCCTACTCCTACTCCTACTCCTACTCCTACTCCTACTCCTACTCCTACTCCTACTCCTCTACTCCTTATCCTTATTCCTCCTTATTCGTATAACTAGAATTCTCGCTTGGGCGCGGAGCGCATTTTTTCGTACGCAACTTCGTCGACCCGCGAGCGGACGAAAATGTCGCTCTCGCCTCGGCGCCGCGCAGATTTTATGTGGAATTGGCGCTCCCAGTTCGACGCGGTGCGTATTTGTCACTCGCCAGTTTTGGGGTGCCCGCGCGAATCGGCGAGTCGTCGCTCTCGCCCAAGCGCCGTGCGCATTTTGCTCGGCAATGGCGTTCCATCGCGGGCGCGGCACACGGTTCGTTCGCCGAATCGCATGAAAGCTGCAGCGACAGCGGGGTCGCGCGACAGCGGGCGAAATGCCGACGTCGCCCAAGCGCCGCGCAGCTTGTGAGTGAAAGTGGCAGTGCTGTATCAGCGCGGCGCATGCTTCGTCTTTGCCGCGCCCACCGGAAGTTTTGCTCCTCCCGCCCCTGCGCGGCCCGCGTAGGAAGCGGGGCCTCGCGCCAGCGCCTTCCGTTTGCGAGGTGAGAGCGCTTTCTAGTCCAAATATCAAGTTGTGCCACATTTGATTCATATCTTGTGAGAAAACGTGTGGGGGTAGGCAGGGCTCTCTGACTCGCTCGACCTGGCGAGCTTGACTCGTATCATTTTTTTTATATGTATATATTTTCATTGTGTCATTAAACCTCCAAGTGTGACCAAATCCGGCAGGTCCCATCCTGTTTGTCCACAAACAATACAACATATTTTTCCGTTCCAGTACGGGCATTATTATTATGTCTCAATTTTTTAACATGTTTGGCAGGACTGGGACGGGGCGACTTCCCACGCTAAAGGCCGAAATGTCGTCGTCGCGCTCATTTTTCTAGAGAGTTGAGCTCCCGCTGGGGCGCGGAATGCATTTTTTTGCACGCCATTCCGTCGACGCGCGAGCGGGCGAACATGTCGCTCTCGCCTCTGCGCCGTGCAGATTTCGCGTGAAAGTTGCGCTCCCGCCTTGGCGCGGCGCGTATTTTTCATTATTCAATTTTTGATTCTCCGTTCGAGTGGGCGAATTGTCGCCCTCGCCCAAGCTCCGTGCGCATGGCTTCAGCGCGGGCGTGGCGCATGGTTCGTTCGTCGAATCGCGTCACAGCGATGGCGGCAGGGCCGCGCGACAGCGGGCGAAATGCCGACGTCGCCCAAGCGCCGCGTAGTATTTGAGTGAGCGTGGCAGTGCAGTATCAGCCCGGCGCATGGTTCGTTTTCGCCGCGCCCATCGGAACTTCTGCTGCTCCTGTCCCTGCGTGTCCCGCGTAGGTCTCTGCTCGCCAAGTCGTCGGAAGCGGGCCGCGCGCCAGCGCCTTCCCTCTGCGAGGTGGGAGCGCAGTCCAATTCCGATATCATCAGTGCCATATTTGATTCTCAATGCTGTCTGATGTTGTGTGAGGGAGGGCGGGAATAGGCGGGGCCCTTTGATTCGCTCGACCTGGCTAATGCGACTCCCTTGCGTTATTCCTTCCTACGCTGCCACGTAGCCGGCCGGTAGCGGCCGGATCCGCGATGTCCCATACCCGCCAGCCGTATTTTTCTTGAATTGAACATGTGCCTGCTATCGTCCATGATGCAAACTGTGCGGCAGGAGTGGGACGGGGCGCGCATCCGACGCGAAAAGCCGCAATGTCGTTTCCGTGTCGGCGCCGCGCTCATTTATCTAGAGAGCTGAGCTCCCGCTGGGGCGCGCCGCGCATTTTTCGCACGCAACTACGTCAGCGCGCGAGCGGGCGAAAATGTCGCTCTCGCTTTGGCGCCGCGCAGATTCGAGTCCATGTTTGTGTGAGGGAGGGCGAGAATAGGCGGGGTCCTCAGACTTTTTCGGCTTGGCTAACTTGACTCCTATGCGTGGCTGGAATGTGACGGGCACGCAGCCCGTGCTAAAGGCCGATACGTCGTTCTCGTGTCGGCGCCGCGCTCAGCTGGGCTCCCGTTGGGGCGCTTTCAGCATTTTTGCATGCAATTTCGTCGACGCCCGAACGGACGAAATTATCGTTCCCGCTTTGGCGCCTTGCGGATTTCGACTGAAAACGCCGCTCTCGCTTTGACGCTGCGCAACATCTTCACTCGCCCATTGTTGAGGGGCCCGCGCGAGTGGGCGAATTGTCGCCCTCGCCTAAGCTCCGTGCGCATTTCGTTCAGAAGTGGCGCTCCTGCGCGGGAGTGGCCAATGGTTCGTTCGCCGAATCGCATGCAAGCGACAAGGGCAGCGGGGTCGCGCGACAGCGGGCGAAATGCCGACCTCGCCCAAGCGCCCCGCAGTGTGCGAGTGAAAGTGGCATTGCTGTGTCAGCGCTGCGCGTGCTCCGTCCTCGCTGCGCATCCCCAAGTCTTGCCCCTCCCGCCCCCGCGCGGCCCGCGTATTTTTCTCTGCCAAGTCGTCGGGAGAGCGAGGCCGCGCGCCCAGACCTCCCGACCCCCTCTCCGTGGTCAGTTTTTCGCCCGGGTTCCGTTTTTGATGGCTCTGGGGCCCGAAGGCGGTTCCCAGAGGCTGAAATCTAGGGGGTTGACACAAAAAACGAATGTCGACGGAGATTGGGGTCTCCTACTGCCCATCAGCCTGCTGCTCCTGCTCTTTTCGCTCCTTGCCCCCCTTTGGTGGACGTGTTGGACGCCTTGGGGAACAACTACCTGCACGTGCCACCCTTCTTCGTCGCTTTCCTGCTCGGCCCCGTCGCCAGCAACGCCTCCGAGATGGTCGCCTCCTACAATTACGCCCAAAAGAAGACCAGGCCGGGTGAGGGGATCGGGGGGGGATGGTACTGGCACGGCTGCCCCTGCCTCGCTTCCGGCCCTCGTCGCCACGGCTGGCTTCGCCTCGAACTCCTGGCCAGAGCGCGTCCCCAGCGAAGGCCCAGGGAGTACCAGCATCGGTGCCTACGGGTTTCCCCAGCGAGAGAGGGGACAGGGCAGGGCCCCCACCTCCTCGCGCTGTGGAGGCTCTGGTACTTTTCAGCCTCCAGGGGTCCTCGCTGGGCCCCAAGACCGTCAACAAACCGGTCTGGGACGAAAGGCCTGTCCTGGGGAAGGCGGTCCAGACTTCTGGGGGCCCACGTGGTGAAGAAATCACGACGTCGGATTTCTGGGTGTCACGGGTGTCGTTTTCGGTTTTTGGGGGGGCATCGGGGTGCTCGTCGTGGCAACTGCTGGGTGCAGCTCGAAAACCGGGTCGGATGTCCAGGAGGGTTCATGGCGCCGTTTCTGAGCGATAGTGGGCCCAGGGACTCTGACCTCCAGGTCGCGGACGGCATCAGGACGGGCGTTGTTGCGCGGTTTCGGCCTCCACGCATCCCGGATCATCAAAGACGATCCGAGGCGAGACATTGGTGCTGGGGATCGGACGAGAGCTCTGGGGGTCCGCCTCTCGGGGACAAAGTTGGCGAAGTCGGACGTCTGGGGGGGGCCTCTCCACCACAGTTGAGCCTCTTTGAGCGCGCGTTGGCCCCAAATCTTGGCGGGCCGATGTCCATCACGATCCGTGCCCGAATCGGGCCTGTGGATGCTCAGTAGTGGCGATGGCGGACGCTTTGCCGCGCCCTGCCAGGAAGAGCATCTCGGTCTCCTTCTCTCAGCTCCTCGGTGCCGCCTGCATGAACAACACCTTCTGCCTGCTCATCTTCTACGGCCTGATCGCGGCCAGGGGCTTCAAGTGGGTGTACCATGCCGAAGTGATGGGCATCGTCCTCGTGGAGGTCATCATGGCTCTGGTGGCCAGCCGCAACGTGCACACGGTGCTGTCTGGGGCGCTCGTGTTGAGTTTGCTGCCTCTGTCCCTGGTGGTGGTAGTCGTGCTCAAGGCGACGGTCTTCAACGGCGTGGAAAGCTGATGCTGGCCGTTTCCCGGGGTTTAGATGCAGCTGCGCCGAATATTGTGAAAGCTTTACGGCCAGTGCCGCCCGACCCTGAAGGGGGAGCACGCGGCGTCTGAGAGGCCAGAAATCGAAGGGGAAAGCTTCTCCCAGGGAGGGGTGCTTCCCAACGGGGGGGGCGGGTCACAACCCCCATAACCGTCCCCCCCCACCTCTCCCGGGAGCCCCTCCCCATCCCGCCCTGGACCCCCCTCCCCCCCCCACCCCTGGCGGGGAAGGGATCAAGGGGAAGGGGCTTCCCGTCGACTTGATTACGACGTTGCTCAATTTCTTCGTCTGTGACTTGTGAAGAGGAGGGCCGGCGGACAGGGACAGGGACGGGAGCGAGCGGTGACGGCGACAGCGACGACGACGATGACGACGATGACGACGAATCAAGCGGAAAAGCCTTTCACACACGCCGACAGGGTCAGCGGACTTAGTCCATTCCTCTTTTTGGACCTGCGTTTCCTCAGCAGCATCCAGAACCCTGGTCCAACTTCTTGCCACCTGCGCAAGCACGGGGCTGTACGCACAACACTGGCGTAGGCTGGCTCAGCGTTTCGAAAATGTTGATCTAGGCAGCCTGCCCAACTTTGTTGGTCGAATCGCTTCGCAATCCCAACATTGTCAATAATGCCGCGCCCTTAGCATCTGGCGCGCCATATGTGGGATTGTCAAAGGTCCACAGATGGCCTGGTGTTCGCGCCTCACAGTACTGTGAGCTCGGGCTCCCTGGGATGGCTCAGTGGAATGCCTAGTCAGAGTCAACATCCTTCTCTCCTCTCTTCCCCTGCAGTGGGGTTATTAGGTCAAGAATGAGCCCGTTTGAGGTGCCATACTCCGACGCGCTCCGTGTCACACAAGCCAGCGAGCATTGCTCACGGATGCCGCCTTCATCCCGTTACAAGAGGTTACGATCATGAGTGATTGTGATAAGGAGGAGGAGGAGGAGGAGGAGGAGGAGGAGGAGGAAGAGGAGGAGGAGGAGGACTAGGAGGAGGAGGACGAGGAGGAGGAGGAGGAGGAGGGGGAGGAGGGGGAGGAGGGGGAGGAGGAGGAGGAGGAGAGGAGGAGGAGAGAGGAGGAGGAGAGGAGGAGGAGGGAGGGAGGAGGAGGAGGAGGAGGAGGAGGAGAAGGTGGATGTGCTAAGTGTGCCGACTACATGGGGCAGTGCCCCCTCTCCGCAGAGCAGTCCGTACCTACTAGTTGGTAGGTTCCTCGAGGAAGACACATTGCTCACCCTTCGGCCTCAGGGAACCCGCAAAGGCCAATACCCGCAAAGGCCATGAACAATGGGAAACCGACCCCAGCCCCAACAACTATGGATTTTACACGTCAGCGTTTTGCATTTACGGCGAATGAGCGTCAGTGTAGGCGCCCTGTCGGTGAGACCATTGCCAGCTGCCGCAGGGGGGCCCCGCGCGCGCGGCGACGTCCTGGGCCCGCTCGACGCGGCCGCGCCCACGCCGGCTCGACGCGCCCGCGCCCGCGCCCGCGCCCCTCGGACTTGGTGGCCGCCACCATTTCCGAGGGGCAGTTCAATGCTGCAGCAGCTGCGTCTTTCAGCCTGCGCACCTCGGTGTCATACACCGAGCCAGCCATACACGAGCCAACCACCGACTGAGACACACCCCCTTCTGCCTCCTCCCCCCGTGCGCCTGCCGTGAGGGACGGGAAGCGAGGGGTCCACTCGGCGCCTCGCACGTTCACGATGCGGGCGGCGAGGCGGGGGGTGAGCCTTCGGCGCAGGCGGGAGCGCTGCAAGCGCAGCCCCGCAGTCCCACTCCCCCGACGGGCTGGGCCTACTGCCGACCGACCGAGTGTTCTTGTGCACCGAGGCCCCGCAGGACTTGCAAGAGAGCTCGCCAGGGACAGGCGGGGCCCCTTCCTCCAGGGGGACCGCCGGGGCCTGCACCACGGAGTGCAGGTCGAGCGCCCGAGGGTCCCGGAGAAGGCCTGGAGGGGCTCTTCGGGGTCCGCAGCAGCAGCAGGAGGAGGAGGAGGCAGCAGAGGCGGGGGAGGGCGAGCGGAGGCCGAGGCGGCCCCCCCCCCTCCTCAAGCGGTGAAGCGCCAGCCTCCCGCGTAGCCTCTTCCAGAGCCTCCCACCCTCGCCAGCGCCACCGCATCACTGCCGTTATCGTCGTCGTCAATCGCCGCCGTTGCCGCCATCATCAGTCAATTACCGACACATGGACGTCATCATCGCATCTTCGTCACCGGCATCGGCACCGTCATTGGTCTTGCTGGCATCGGCGCCGTCATTGGTCTTGCCGTCGTCATTGTCATCGTCGCCACCACCATCGCTACCATCATCATCGTTGTCGGCGCTGTTGACGTCCTCATGATACCGCACCCGCCCCAGCCACTGAACAGCATTGACTTGCCCGCGCGCCAGCGCGGCCTTTGAGACGCGCTGTGAAGCTCCCATTGGTAAGCGCCATCGTGGTCGCGCCGGTTGTGCCAAACCAGCTGGCCGGTCTGCGCGCGAGCTTGCGCGTACTCGTGCATCCCCAGAGATGCGCCAGCCAGTGCCGAGTAGTCACCGCAATCTCGGCAGCATGGGTTGTGTAAACAAGTTACGCGTGGGGCGGTGGGATGATTGCGCGAGCAGTGGAGTCATCGAGTTCAGTTTTTGCAAGGTAGCTTGCACCACATCGATTGATCCACAGAGGTTCTCCTTTCAGAAAACGCATGGTCTCCACCACTCTTCTCCACCGGGATTATCAGTACACCCTGGGGATGACAATTTTCATGTGATTCTGCCCTATAGTTCACTTCCGAATGAATTCACACTATTCCAACCCCATTGGTATTGGCACCCTTCACCCCTGTCAAATGATATTATGCGCGCGCTCGTTCATCTCTGAGTATGTTTCAAGACTCCGTTGCACACTAACGGCGGAACGCCCACGCGCGCCTGCCAAGATCATACCAAATACAGTAGTTCTGCAAGCATCTCAGCATACAAACATCAAAGTCTTCGTGGGCTTGAAATGGCAAGCCTCACAGACTTTCTGCCTGTGCGCATTCGCTGACACCAGAGGACACCATATGATGTTGGCCATCTCGTCCAGGAACTTGACTCGCATCTTACACGCGGTCTATCCGCGTTGGCCCAGCTTGTACCCAGTGCGTGAACCCGCATCAAGTTCTACTTCGCGGGTCACACTCACGCGCTGCCACGCGCGCGTTTCGACAAAAACCATTGGTTTTCGAGGCGTTTCAAGATAGAACTTTTCAGCGACATGCGAAAACCCATATGTTCTTCAATATAATGCTTGCAAGGCTTCTTGCACTTCCGCGCGCGCACTTCCTCACCATCACCCTCATCGGCGCCGTCGCATCACTGCCGTTACCGTCATGGCTAGTCGCCGCCATCGCCGCCATCATCAGTCAATCACCGACACACGGACGTCATCATCGTCATCGTTGTCACCAGCATTGGCGCCGTAATTGGCCTTGTCGTCGTTATCGTGGTCAGCGTCCTCACTATCGCTACTCTCATCATCGTTGTCGCCGTTGTCGGCGTCATCATGACACCGTGCCCGCCCGAGTCACCGATCCGCCCTTGAGCGCCCGCGCCCCATCGCGGCCGTCGAGGCGCGTTGTGAAATTCTGCTCTCACATCGGTAAGCGCCATCTCGGCCGCGCTGGTTGTATCAAACCAGCTGGCCGACCTGCGCGCGAGCTTGCGCGTGCTAGCGCAGCCGCAGAGATGCGCCAGCCAATGCCAAGTAATTACCGCAATCGATGCCGCATTTGTTTGCAAGTCTACTTGCGCGTGAGGGGGCGGTTGGGTCATTGCGCGAGGCGGAGTTGGCGGCTTCAAGTTCAGCAGGGTGGACTGCATTACACCGATATCACCACATCCTATTAAATATTCAGATTCAGAAACTGTACCCTCTAGACGAACACTCTAGTGTCACGCCTCTAGAGGCACACACTTCCCCTCTCTAGAGTCGCGACTGCCTCTCTCTAGTGCACCTTCTCGAAGCCCTTCTAGAGGCCCTTCTAGAGGCCCTTCTAGAGGCCCCTCTAGAGGCCCTTCTAGAGGCACCTGTAGACACGCCTCTAGGGGCCCTGAAAGCCCCCGCACGTATGCTCTACTTCATCGGCCGAATGGCCGCCCATGGCCCGAGCTGCCGCCTCGAAGTGCCGACCCTGACGCAACTCTGGACAATCCTCAGTTCCACGTTTCACCCTGGACCCTGCGTTCGAGGATCGTGGTTCGAGACGGCTCTGTGAGTTTCTGGGACTTCCCTCTGTGGAGGTGGCCTGATCTGCTTCGACATTCCAATCCACCCCATTTCGAAGAGACAGAAACGAAGGATCAGGACGAGGAAGATACGAGGAAGGGGCATAGAACACGCAGACATATTTTACGCACCTTTCGTACTCTGTCCGCCTCCAGAACCTCCTCGTGCCCACGCCTGGATCTGCTTGGAAATTCCGCCCTTGCATTTTGATCCCGACGCCTCTTCCAAGATCGCGGCCTAGACGCATCTGTGAAGGAGTCCTCCGCTCGACGTTTCCACCCTGGGCCTACTTCTCTTCCCCGTGGCCCCCCTCCGGCAGCTACGCCAAGCCGACGCCACTCCGGCGCGCAGTTCTGCGCGCGTCTGGAGGAACCCCCGGAAGGCCGAGAGCGGCCCCGGAGCTCCCCGAGACAGCTCCCCAAGATCCCCGGGAGCCCTCGGGAGGCCCTGGCGAGGCTTCACCATGTGAAATGACCCCGGAATGGCTCCACACTTGCCCCCCTTGGGCGTTGCGTAATGGGGGGGTCATACATGGGGGGGTGGCGAGAGTGGTCCGAAAAGGTACCCAAACGGTACCTAAACGAGCCCACTGGGGCTCCGGAGGGGCCCGAAAGGGGCACGAAAGGGGACCGTTTCTGACCCCCCCATTTATGACCCCCCCATGAAGCCACGCCCAACCCCCATGCCCGACAGACGAGGCCAGCGGGCCCCCAGGCGGCCCAGGAGCGATCCGAGACGCGTCCCACCATAACCCGAAACGCTATGGTGATACATCCCTTTTGGGTTGTTGAAGGACTGTGACGTTTTTGCTTTTTCGGTTTGCGGACGCTCCGCGTCTCATCATAACCCGAAACTCTAAGCTCGCACATCCCCATGTTTGGGTTTTTGAAGGACTTTGGCGTTTTCGTTTTTCCGGCTCGCGGGCGCTCCACAACGCCCCGCGCGCCCTCAATACCGCCCCGAAGAGACACGTGAGGCGCCCAACATCAACCCCGAGACGGCTCAACGGAGCGTCCTAGACAACCCAACAGGTCCCACAGATAGCTTCTGACGGCCCATCGTCCGAGCAATGTCAGCGCGCTCCCTCCTCGCCGATCGCCACTCTTCACCCGCACGCCAGAGCCGCCTAATGAATCAAGGGTTCGACGGCGCAGCGTAGCAAGCCGTAGAAAACTTGTATTCATTGTCTTTTCAGAAGGAGGATCGGCTCCACCACCGTCTCGAGCCTGGAGTCAGCGGCCCCCCCTCTGGGGTATTTTCATATGATTGCGTCTCATGGTTCGTTGTCCATCTGAAGTCGTACATTTCCAAGAAATTCGCGCGCACTCGCTTGTCTCGAATAATCAGGTGCCACGAACCCCTTGCAACAAGACAGCAGAGCCCACGTGCGGTCATTCATGCCGAAATCCTACCAAGCACATTCGATCTGCGCGCGTCTCAATTCGAAAACACTAACACACCACAGGGTTTCCACCAAACATGTGGCAGTCTTTCTGCCCGCGCGCACTTGCTGACATTATGGGGCAGCTGTGTGATTTCAGCACTCTCGTCCAGAACCCGCATTATAATTTCACCACGCAGTGCGTCCGCGTTGATCTAGCATGTGCCTAGTGCGCGAACCCGTGCCAAATAAAACCATGCGGGCCACATGCGGGCGCTGTTTTGCGCGCGTGTCGAGATTCTTATACACCATTTCTTTTTGACGCATTGCAAGGTAGAGCTTTCCAGCCACACATGGTAAACCATGTTTTTCCACAGGCAGTCCTCCAGATGTCTTGCATTTCTGAGCGCACTTCCTCATCACCCTCATCAGCGCCATTGCATCACAGCCGTCGTCGTCATCGACAAGCCAGTGTCGGCATCATCCGCACACTCACCTTCATCACCGACACATGGATGCCGTCATTGTCGTCATCACCAGCATCGGAGCCGTCATTGACTTTGCGTCGTCATCGTCATCATCGCCATTACCATCGCGATTCTCGTCACGGTTGCTTCCGTTTTTTGACGTTACCATGATATCGCGCCCGTTCGAGCCACCGAACCGACGCGCCAGCGAGGCTTCTGAGACGCGCTGGGATGTTCCCTCGGGCAAACGCCATCGCGGCCGCACCAGTTGTGCCAGATCAGCTGGCTGATCTGCGCGTGAGCGTGCGCGCGACGGTGCTGCCGAAGAGATTCGCCAGCAAGTTCCTATCGGCAATCGCAGTCGTGGCCGCATGGACTTTGCCAATCAGATTGCGGGTGGGAGGGTGGGATGTGGGCACGAGTATTGAAACTGACATCTTGCCAGTGGCACATTTCGTTGCGCTGCGTATATTCCACTACATGTAGCTCCCCACGTAGTTTGCACCATCTTGATTGCACCATCTAGATTGCACAATCGAGATTGCACCACTGATACTGCGCATCCGTCGTGCAACAAGTCGCTGTTTGGGGTACGCACGGGCAAACAACATGTACATTCCATCTCCAGATTCATTCACCCAACCTCCCACCGTGCACCTCCTACGTCCTATCCCTTCCGTTCAATCTCCGACCCCTTCCTTCATGAAGGTAAATGTCTATCGCTAGCTCGCGATGGGGGGGAGGTCGTCAGGGGGGATCATAGGTGGTCGCTCGGCTGAGTGGTGGGTGGCTGCTTGGTGATGGAGAGCGGGCGCAGCGAGGGACCACCCAGGTCTTCGGCCCGGGTATCTGGCCCGAGTGCCGCCCGCCTCCCCCCCCCCCTCCCCGGGCGGCGGCAGGTGGCGCCTTACCTGCAGACGTGGCTCCGCTGGCAATGCTCCCGCCGATGGTGCCGCCCAGGTATTGCCAGGCGGGCCCCGCGGCGGCTTCCTGGGTAGGAGCGAAGGGCGAGGGAGAGGGAGAGGGAGTGAGAGTCAGAGAGAGAGAGAGAGAGATAGAGCGAAACTAAAAGATAAAACAACACATGACAGAGTGAGGGAGAGGGAGAGGGAGAGGGAGACGGAGAGACAGTAAGGACTATGCGTGTGTATGTATGTGCATAGATTTCAAGAGACATATGTACCAGTTGCGCTACCACCCGATTCCGCCACCGCGCTCGGGCGGGGTAGGGGGGTAGGGAAGCCGGGGCCGACGGTGGGGTGGGGGGGAAGGGGGTGGGGCGGGGGGGTAGATGTAATGGGCACTTGGTACCACGAATGGTGTATTTGGGTACATTTTCTGCCTGGAAGGCCAACCACGCAGGGACTTGGGGTCGATGCGTCGAGGGGGCCAGCTTTTTGCTTTGCAAGGAGCGAAGGGGCCCGACACACACACACACACACACCGCTGCAAGCGCGGTGGCGGACATGTGTGTACATGTGTCTACGTACGTGTATACGTATATCTATGTATTTCGCCATATATAC